GAGAGGAAATGGTGAAAGAGTATGGTCGTGGAAGAAGAATTAATGAAGGGTTTACTAAGCTTCAACCCTTTTTAGCTCAAAATATATTCATTCATTCCCATTTTGCCCTTGCTCTTTCTTTAAAATTTCATCTTTGTCCTTTCAATCCTTACAATCACACCCCCCCACTCTAACACATTTTCCATAAAATTCTCTTACACTTTACTCCCCACTTTTCTTGCTAACTAAGGCTAGAAATGTCATTTTGCCCCTATGGAAGAATTCTCTAGAAACCTCAATACACATTTTATTCGGCTCTTCGCCGCGACGAAGACTCTTTCTTCGCCTCGGAGAAAAATTACAAAACCTACCTCTTTGGTGACAAAACCTCGTCGCCTCGGCGAAGTCTGTAACACCAAGATTTCGCCAAGTCTTTACAATTTTAAGGCAACCACTCAACAAAACCAATATATCCATTCAACTAAGGGCCAACCAAACAATATGAACAATATGCCAACTCAAATAAGAGCAAAACAATAAACATTAGCTACGTACCTCAAGTGGGGTGTTACATCTGCTTACTACTGAAATCTTTATATGGTCTAAAGCAATCCCCTAGGCAATGGTATAAGAGATTTGACACCTTTATAGTAAGTATAGGATTCACTAGCAGTAAGTATGACAGCTGTTTCTCCTTTGCTGTTGTGGATGAGATACCTATTTACTTACTATTGTATGTTGATGACATGTTACTGATAAGCAAATCAAAGCCTCTAATCTGCGTGTTAAAGAATAAATTGAATACTGAATTCGAAATGAAAGACCTAGAGGATGCTAGGAAGATCTTAGGCATGCAAATTGATAGGAATAGGAGCAAATGCAAACTGAAAATTCACCAGTACTGTTCATACCTGCATAAGTTAGTAGAAAAATTTGGAATGACAGGGACTAAAACTGTCTCAATGCCTTTAGCTAATCACTTCACATTAAGCAAGGCCCAATGCCCTAATACTGATGCTAAGTTAATTAAAATGGAGACCATACCTTATGCAAATGTAATTGGGTCCTTGATGTATGCTATGATTAGTACTAGGCCTGACTTATCATTTGTGATTTCATTGCTAAGTAGATACATGTCCAATCCTAGTATGGAACACTGGACAGCCCTGAAATGGATACTCAAGTATGTGAATGGCTCTTTGAATGTTGGGTTGGAATATTGTAAAGGATCTGCCTCACTTGAACTGGCTGGTTTTGTAGACTCTGATTTTGCAAGTGACAGGGATACTCAGAAGTCAACTACAACATACTACTTTACCTTGGGGGGTACTTGCATCAGCTGGAAGTCACAATTATAGCCTATAGTTGCATTGTCATCAACTGAAGCTGAATACGTAACTGTAGCTGATGTATTTAAGGAAGCAGTTTGGCTCAAAGGAATCCTGAGTGAAGCAAACCTATCTAAACAGAAGCCAACCATCTTTTCAGACAGTCAAAGTGCAATACACTTGAGTAAAAATCCAGTCTACCATGAACAAACCAAACACATAGATGTTCACTACCACTTTGTAAGAGATCTGATCACTAGGGAGGAGATACCTCTCAATAAGGTTCCTATTAAGCACAATCCAGCAGACATGGGGACGAAGATTGTTACACTTGCTAAGTTCAAGCATTGCTTGAACTTACTGTCTATTAAGTGACCAAGGGTAACAAGAGAGCCATGAAGGATTCACTGAAGGCTAGTTGCACTGGCAAAGGGGGTTGTTTCAACCCATCAAGGTGGAGATTGTTGGGATGATGGCTTGAAACACTGTTGTATTACTTAAATGAAGCGACGTCGTTTTGAGCTGAACTGAAGAAACAATCCTGAGCGTTGATGAAGAGAAGATCCAACGACTGGAATTAACCCTTCAGTCAAACATATAAAAGCAGATATGTTTTTGGCATTTAGAGATGCGCAGTATCATTTGTGCAAAACTCTTTCTTCTTTGTTAAACACCATTTTGAGTCTGTTAGGGTTTCAATTTGGGTTGTGTGAATCTTGTAACTTGTTGATTGAGTGACTGGGTCATGTCAGTCTGGGTGTATTTGTATACGCTGTTAGTAGGGATTGAAAGGATATAATCTCTCAGGTGAGTTACGGGTTGAAGAAGGGATATTGAGGGTTTTGTGTTGTTGTGTGTAATCTGTAATCTTGACAGTGATTTAGTGCAACAAGCTCATGTGTTTTCCGAACTCAACGTGGACGTAGCTTGTTCAAAATAGAGCAAGTGAACCACGGTAAAATTCTGGTTGTTCTTGTGCGTGTGAGTTGTGATTCTTGATTGTGATCTTTGTTTGGTTGCTTCTTATGTGTGTGTGGTTATAACACATATGCCTGAAAATAATCAAATAATTTATTTTAGTGCTAAAGCCTGAATACTTTTCACCCGTACATCGTAGAACCAGCTTCTAACGAAATTAACTTACATAGTCCAGTAGGGTCAAACATTATTGGATGAGTTGTTTTGTTTGACAGTAGTGTGAAGGTGGAGAAATTTTCTTGGTCAGCTGGCGATAAAGAGAGTTGGTAGGAGGTGGAATTCACAGCAGCATAAGCACAAATTATGTGAGTGAAGAGAGTAAAATTTATGTCCGAGATTGGGAACTCATTTGATGGACGGTAATAACCAACCCTGATCCAATTGGTTTGCGCTATTGAAGGGCGCAATGGTATAGAAAAGAAAATATAGAAAATAACAATGTTGATAATCTTGGCCACCATTTGAAAGAACTTTTTATCTTTTAGCAGTGTTACTTGTATATGTTTATCAAGTGTGGCGAAGAAAGCTCTGTTAAATTTGTTGCGGACATGATTAAAGGTGGAAACTTCAACATTAGCAAATGCTACATCACAAGATGGAAAGCAAAAGTCTTTATGGTGACCAAATCATTTAAGATTAGTTATGAAAATTTCTAAACGGAGAAATTAAAATTTTCTGCCCGCACAAAAGACTTTGACTTGGTTGCTAGGCGGACCAACATTATGTCTTGTTGGCCTGGCCATGGTGACGGCCGAGGAAAATTTTGAAATTTTACTTATAAATTAAATATATCTTTACTAATTTAATAATTTTGGCCCCCTTATTTTTCTAAGTTTTCTTCAACCCCATTAAATGAAATTTTCTGATTCCGCCAGCTTATGTGTATTTCTTTTGTTTCAGATTTTCCATGAAGGTGGAGAAGTGTTCTTAAAAAACTGGTGATGAATAGATCATCATTTTTTTTCGATAAGGCTAACAAGAAAAAATAGGAGTCCTTAATCTTTGATTATAAATACTCTTCATCATATTACTTAATTATTAATTGAATCATAGATTAATTTATTATCACCAATTTCAGGTCCATATATGAGTTGTTTATCATATAAGTATAGGGATTGTCCCAAAGATTAATCAAAGTACACATAAGTTGAACTGAAGACCTTAGTTAAAAAAAGTATAGGGACACTACAAATTACTATCATCTTCAATACCCAACTTGCCTTGGGAATTAAGTAGACCAAATGATTTGGACCATCCATAATGCCTTGACTACGAACACTTATTGAAAACTTTCTGTCCTCCACAAAAAGACTTTGACTTGGTAGCTGAGGCAGGCGGACCAACATTATGGCTTGTTGGGCCACGGTGACCACCGAGGAAAATTTTAAATTTTTACTTATTAATAAATTAAATATATCAATTTTACAACATAAAATTTTTGGCCCCCTTACTTCTCTAACTTTACCTTCAACCCCAAAAATTGCAATTTTCTGATTCCACCAACTTATGGATATTTCTTTTGTTTCAGAGTTTCTGTGAAGGTGGAGAAATGTTCTTCAAAAACTGGTGATGAAGAGATCATTATTGTTTTTCAATAAGGCTAACCAAAAAAAAAAAAAAAAAAAAGGAAAATTTAATTTTTAATATAAATACTCGATTTATTATCACCAATTTCAGTCTACACATGAGTTGCTTACCATAGAAGTAAAAGTAAAAATTATTAGTATCCAACTTGCCTTGGAAAGTAGAGTAACGACTTGAACCATCCACCATAACGCCTTGACAAATAAATAAAAACTTATGAACCTAATAATATTGTAGACCAAATTCACTATAAAGACTGTTAACTTCAAGACAACGTTCTTAAAGTCTTCATAGGAAATTTGGCCAAAAAACATATTATAGAGAAGCTCATAAGTCAAATGCATCAACAACAATAACCAAGTCAAAGTCTTTTAGTGGTTGTCATGGCCCCACAGGCCATAATGTTGGTCTGCCTCTGCCACAACCAAGTCAAAGTCTCTCTTCACTAAGGTCTACTTTGATTTTTGAATTTTGCTGCATCATTTGATTAGTGTTTGAATATATTATTACATTTATACTGATATATAATCTTTTTTATACAAATTTATATAATAGTAAAAGGAAAAAGAGTTGATATAATAATTTGATATACTAAGAAAAAAGTATTAATATAATAGTTTACATATAAAATTCGTATATGTAGCATATGTTTGCTATGGTTTATTCGAGTATTGCTTATAGAGGAATCTATCAATTAATTGTTTGGTTAGAAAAATGTAAAAGAGCTTTGTAGTGTTAATTCATTAAAAAGGACTTTAATAAACAAAAATTATTTAAGTCAAATATATAAAATAGGGGGATATTTTTTAAATTTCAACAATTTAAATAAGTTGAAAGAAAGTTTATAGAAAAAGCTCAAGTTTTGAGTTTTTTCCAGAAGTTGTACAACGGCTTACTTTGAATCATATAAGCGCTTTTAATAAACAAACTAATAAGTTTTTTTGGTCAACAGATAACTCAACCAAATAATGCTTGTAACATTAATCCCTTTCCACCATCTTTTTTACTTGATTGGATTTCATGTGTGAAGGGTTGAAGTTTGCATCATATACAAACTAGTGTGTACAAGAAATTTAAGAGAGCTTTCGTCTCCACTTAATAAGCATATTTATATGGAAGAGATAAGCTAATAGATAAAAACTTGAGCTTCAAACAGCTTTTCAAATGGTGCCCAAGATTATCATGAGTGTTGTTTTCTATATATTCCTCTCTATACAACTGCACACATCAATGGCGCAAACTAATTGGATCAGGGCTGGTTTTTACATGTATAACCAATATGAGTTTCCCATTTCGGAGATCAATTTTGCTCTCTTCACTCACATTATTTGTGAATATGCTGCTGTGAATTCTACCTCTTACCAACTCTCTTTATCACCGGCTGATGAACAACATTTCCCCGAATTCACACATACTATAAAACAAAACAACCCATCAGTCGCTACAATGCTATCTATTCATATTAATGGTGATGCAACCTATTCTACAATGGTAAGCACTTCTTCAAACAGAAAATCCTTCATCGATTCCTCCATAAAAATAGCCAGACGTTACGGTTTCGAAGGCCTAGATTTCTCTTGGCAATTTCCAGCCACAAGTATTGATATGTTCAATATGGGAATTCTCTTTAAAGAGTGGAAAGCCGCTATTGATTTAGAGGCAACAGACTCAAGCCGGTCTGCACTGATCTTGACGGCAAAGGTTTATAATACACCAAAGATTTATTCAACAAGTTACCCTATAGAGTCGATACAACAACATTTGGATTGGGTTCATTTTTTTGTGGATTACATTAAAAATGATATTAGCTGGGACAGGCATACGAGCACTGAGGCATCTCTGTATAATCCATATGATTTTGACAATGCGGATTGCGGCATAAGAGAATGGATCGATGGAGGATTATCGGCTAATAAAATGGTGTTGACTTTACCTTTCTATGGTTTTGCATGGAGGCTGGAGAATCCTATGGACAATGGTATTGGTGCACCGGCAAAGGTACTTCCCACTAATACGGAGAACGGAATTGTGGCCTATAGGGAAATCAAGAATTACATTGACCAATATGGTCCTGATGTTCATGTTAGGTACAACTCAACTTATGTGGTGAATTACTGGACAAAGGGAACAACTTGGTACTGCTTCAATGACGTTGAGGCGANCTGACTTTTGTTTTCTTATTCTGATTATTGATGAGAGTCCCAACAGTTGGATTGACATTATTCTCGTTCTGGGAAATCAGCCCATCAGTTCAAAAAATATGAGAATTTTACCAAAGCAGAAACGTAGATAAATTACCTCCATGGTTGTCTAACTGTCTTCTGATTGAAACAAATTAAGCTAAGAAAAGAGGAAAAAATTCAAATAACACATCATTTCAAAGGGCAAAAAACTCTGCGAGAAACCTTTCCATACATGGACAAAAATAATGGTATCTGAAATCCATTTTGGTCCCATGAGATGAAACCATAATAACTCATTCTGATTTAACATTGATTGGGCAGACCTTAGCAAATATTTGAAATCTATGATTCCACTGATCAATGTCAATAAAAATAATTATATATTTGCACAAAAGATCATTATCGATTTGCACGGAGATTAGATTTAAAGGGTTAAATAAAACAGATTGGACAATGTCAATTGCTTTATATCCTACAATCCAAATGCCACTCTGTGCACATAATCTGGCCGTCTTTTGGTAGGCATCCGAATGAGCCCAGTAATCTGGAGCTCTGTAACCACCCTGCAAAACCGTGCTCTGTAGAAGTTAAGGTCAAGGAACTTCAAGCAAATCCATCTTTTAGACCTGATTTTCATTAGACAGGAGGGGATAAAAGAACAAGCAATTGCTAATGTATGCATGAGATAGGAACCCCATTGGTTTGATTGCATCGTGAAAAGCTTGTGGGTCATGAAACAAACTCACACTTTCAGGGTCTTGATGCAACTCAAAATTTGAACGCAGTAAACATATAGCAAAGGTCGAAGATTCATGGGCATCAAACACGCGCAGAACGGCAGATAGGTAGTGCAGACCAAAAAATAACTATCCTCACAACAATAGAAATCAATCAAACTATATCATGCCGTTCACCGTTGAAGAGTATGCCAAAGCTGGATAAGTTCATCATAATTCAATCATATATACGAGATAACAAAGAGGGAGATAACAAAGAGGATGTAACACAAATATACCCTGCGATGAAAGATCATTTGCACTAGAAGTCACAGGAGTTCAATAAATGATTACATACAAATAAATTTTTAAGAATAAAATCAGATGAGCAATCAAGATCTTATAATCTCACTTAAAAGTATTTGCCGTTGTAAGTGGCACAGCTAGAACGAAGCAATTTGTCGACTCAAAATGCATGCCATCACAACAGAGGTATATGCAAAGTTGATGTAAACTTCAGTCACACATAACCGTTCAACCAACAAAAAAAGGATGTGGAATAATCTGAGATTACTAAAGGCCCAAGAATAGCAGCTGAAGTGGCGGGAAAGATCATATTTGTATATTGGTAGCCCCATTAAAGAAAAGAGAAAACATAAAAATCAAAAAGGCTGGAGGGAACAATTAGCTTGATGAAAATCTAAGATTGATGACTATGTTTACCAACTAAAAATAAGTAGACAACCAAAAATAGAATGTATGTATATATATAAACAATAAAGATTGGCTCACAACCCAATCTTACAAACTTCATTTCACAATCCTGACATAACAGTTTGCAATTGATCAACTCGCAATTAGACAGACAGAACCTGCAATTGGACAAGTAGAACCCATTACGAGCTAACCAATTGCGAGTTGCTACGTCAGGGTTGTGAGAGAAAGTTTGTAAGATTGAATTATAAGTATAGTACTATCCATATGTAAGTAGGGCTGCAATCTTTTGACTTGAAAAGGGGACATAAACTCTAAACCAAATGTGTCAAGATTTATAATAAAAAGCAGTATTTACCATGAAGATTTCTTTACCTTGCATTTAGATTGATTAGATGGTCAAGAATTTGCACCCTATTTATGTTAAAAGATCCCAATACTCAAAGAATTAAGTACAAAGGATACTGAATTGAAGCTTCACTCTGCTTCTTAGGTTCATTCATTTCCTTTCTTTTCTTCGGTATTGGGGACTGCTTTGATTTGTTTTTCCCTTTATTTATTGGACAAAGAACTGTTGATTTGAATGAATTGTACCAGTCATGGAGGTTAATATAATCACCATGCTCCTGGGCTAGGTTATACCTAAAAAGACAGATGATGAACTCAAATTACAAACTTTCAAAGTAATACACTAAAAAGCAATCATAATGCCACGAACAATCATTAAGAAAAAAAAAGTGAAGGCTGTGTTTATTTCCCTATTCAAAATACTACCATATCCAATCCTATCAAAATACATATTTGTTTCAATATTCTCAAAATCCAACCCTATTTTATTCAACTCAAAATATTTAGATTTTTTTTTATCCCCCTAAGTTTGTTAATTTAACTAAACACCTCCAACAATAAAAGTTTATAGATTGACAAAAACACCCCCACCCACTCACATATTCCTAACAACCAACCACCACCGTCGAAAAGTGGCCAGAATCTGTCGGAATGGCACACGACTGACTGAATGTGATTGGTCGTGCGCCGATCTGGCCTTTTCCAGCCAGATCCACCATAGATCTGACAGACAGGAAAAAGTCAAATCTACGACCAAAGATCTAGCTGGTTACAACCAGATCTGGCCACGTCTGGTCGTCAACGACAGTTATATCTTAGCCATCAAGCCAAATCTAGCCGTCAATGGCCAGATCGGTGCACTACCGACCAGATCCAGTCAATCATATGTCATTCCGGCGACTTCTGGCCACCATCCGATGATGGTGGCCGACTGTCGGCATTTAATGGGTGGGTGATGGTGTTTTTGTTAATTTTAAAACTTTTATTGTAGGGGGTTTAGCTAAATTAACTAATGTAGGGGGACTAAAAAATAATCTAAATATTTTCAAAAAATGTTTTCTAAAAATTTACCAAACACATTTTCAAATTCAAATCTTATTCTCATAATAACAACCTAACTCAACTTTTTCAAAAATACTATTCTAAATATTCTATCAAACACAAGCGAAAATATTTGTCCTTTAATTAATGGAATAGGGTTTGAAAGTTTGCAAATAGCAATTACAAAATTGTTACATGTCATGAAAGAAAGGATTGATCCCAGCCAGCAGTTTTAATAGATTAAGGTAGACACGAAAATGACAAACAGTTTTCTGCAGCTAAAATTTGATCTGTCAGTGTTTTGAGTCCAATCAGTCCCTAGTTTTTCTAATTCAGAAAAAAGTGGAAGCGCTTACATTATTGATGTGTCATGCATTGATGGCGATAGGGTATCGCCAATCCTGCTGCAGCAACTACATCTGAGGATTTTGTAGAATTCCAGAAGATCTACTTGAATCCTTCTTCTTGGGTCTCCAATTAAGGCCTGAAGTAATTGAGAAGACATGAAGTGTACAGATATATAGCAAGTCTCTACATGTTCAAAACTCAAACCACTCCAAAACTAGCAGTGTACAGATATATAGCAAGTCTCTACATGTTCAAAACTCAAACCACTCCAAAACTAGCAGGAAAGTTAAAACTCCATCCATTAGAAGGAAACAAAAAAGCTGGGAAATCTTGAAATAATGGAACTGTTGCTCATGCTTAGTTGATTCATTGGCAATGCACTGAAGCTTTGTGGAGCTACATAGTAGGGAGTGGTTGTAACTACAGTTCATTATTTATTTATTTTTTTCTCTTAATAAGAAACTCAAGAAAACTTTAATTGATCAAATTGATTGAAGAAAAATTTACAAAGCAATAAACAAGCTGTAGTAGATCTAGACATATATAGATCAAGACAGCTCAAGAAACAAAAACTCAAAACAAGAGATAAGGACATAATGAAGGGTCCTTAAATAAGCAAAAACACTAACACTACATTTTTAATTCATTGCCACCTCCCAGGTTCCACTTCAATTTTATCTTAAACATTAACAGCACCTCAAAACCCAACAGAATTAAAGGATGACTGATTTCTCAAAAGCCCTTGGTTATCCTTTTATTGTATCGTCTATTATTTTATAAAATAAATTTAAACAACCTTTCATCAATACTGGAAAGACTGATCAGGAAATTCAAACAGACAATTCAACTTGCAACAAAGACCCTGACATCATGCCTATATATTGTCCAATCATTGCCTTGTCTGTCACACTTACTTTTTTTGGGGGAATCAACCATCAACCAGTGGTAAAAAATGGTTAAATCTTATGAAGTAATTACAGCAAATATGTATGGGGTTAAAAAAAATTGGTTAAATCTTATGAAGTAATTACAGCAAATATGTATGGGGTTAAACAACAGAAACATCAGATTATTTATCCAGCTGGGAAACAGGAGAGCCTGTATAAGAAATGACATTCCCTTGGCAGAAAAAGGAGAGCATGTTTAAGAATTTTCATGATAGTTGTTATCCTTTGTTTCCTTACCAATTGAAGTTTCTCGACATTCTTAAAGCAGATGATTTCATGGAAAGGTAAGCACTCAATGGGTTGCATATAATCCCTGTTCAGCAAAGAGATGTTCACAACTCAGAATAGTCATCAATTACAGAAGAGTGCAAATACAAAACTAATAGCAGAACGGAAGACCATATTTGTTTTTACATAGCATACAACATAACAAGAACAACTTAATTTGATAATTTCTACCTGTATTGAAGGGCTTAAGAAAAAAGAGCTAGAACAGGGGCTGTCAAGTAATATAAACGGTAAACAATAACTGTGACCCGTAACTTAAACACAAAAACAAGATCAACTACAGAAAAGAAATAATCCCTAGATCTGTTTTCCCACCCAAAAACACATTTTAGGTTACATATTTCTAGTCAAGGTAGCTCTGACTATAAGACTGCAGAGGTGCTTAAAAGATTTTTTTTTTTAATATATATATATATAGGAAACAATTAAACTATATATAAAAAAGAGGTTCTTTAAAAGATATTGTTGATGGATATAAATGACTGAGAACTTTTTTGTGCATATATATAGATCAGAAGAAATACATCACAGTGATACTGACAAGCATAAAATTGGAATACAAAACAGCTAAAACTAGTGTACATAAAATGATTGTCCCTACCAAACCATGCACTCCATTAATGCAGCAGCTTTCACGTTTACCGCTTTGGAGTCCTCAATGTTAAACTGACTCTGAGATGCATTTCTCCTATCACAAGAAGCACTCAAAATTAAGCCAACATCATCTATGTGCACATCACACTGAAACTCAATAATTAAAAGATTTAGAAGCTTCAATTAATAATAACAAAAATGGGCAAGCTAGATATTGAAATGATGACGGTAGAGTAATTGAAAGAAGCTTTTCAAAGAGCTTATGAATCTAGAACTCCATAAAGTTAAAGTGAGTGGGGTGAATTTCTTATATTTCATTTGCAGGAAGTTGCTGGGAAGTTTTAACATGAAACCTTATAGGATTTTTATTGTCTCCATATTTTCATAGGCAATAATTATCCTACAAAACATCATACTAACAAAAAATTGATGTTCTTCTGTGTAATTATCAAAGCAGAGGACTTGAGTGTTTTACACATCAAAAGGGCTATGTTAATGTGGAATTCAAGTTGGATTTACCTAGCATGATTTCTTTGAGGATTCCTTTTTCCCATTTCTAGTTCAAACTTTAAATCTTTCATGCCAATCTTCCAAAGCATCGTGGTCAGAACCAAAAACCTAAAATTTGTTTTTTATATTAGGGCTAGCTTTCCAAACCAATTGCAATGTTCATTTTATTCAATAGACCCCCCTGGTTTTAAAATAGTATAATAAATAATAAAGCATCCTATAAACCAACAGAAACTGATCAGTCCAGTTTAATTCCACTTGAAAAAACCATACCAAACAGATCAATAATATCTCAAGTAGGAGGCCTCACAAAAGTTGAAAAAAAAGGTCTTAAACACTCAATCTTATTGTTAAGGTTTACGAATCCAATAGCCAAAGCTCATAAGGAAAAGAGCAACTACCATTATATAAACTCTACTACACCCACTAATGTGCATGGTAATTTGTTACTAGGATCCAAATACACTTATAATTTAGCTAATAGTCTTAAGTCACTAGTTGACCTAAAAGCTTAAACTAATATGTAAGAATTTACAAGAACATTTAAGCTTTAGCACCCCCTCATGTGCACTTGCACGTGAACCAAACACAACCACAACGTAGATACAACTATAACAACAAACATTGCTTCCTATAACTTAATTAACATAATAGGCAGAGTTGAACACTGTTAGGATCCCACATTGGAAGGAAAACGGGTGGGCATGTGGGTTATAAGGGCTTAGGCACCCTCCCTTGGCAAGCCAGTTTTCCAAAGAGAGTTCTACCCAAGCCTATGAAAGACCCATGGTCCAACCCAATTGTTGAGTTATTGGAGTGGGTTCCTATCAATAATGTTAGGATCCCACATTGGAAGAAAAAGGGGTGGGCATGTGAGTTATAAGGGCTTGGGCACCCTCCCTTGGCAAGCCGGTTTTTCAAGGAAAGTTCTACCCAAGCCCATGAAAGACCTATGGCCTAGCCCAATTGTTTGAGTTGTTGGGGTGGGTTCCTATCAATTGGTATTAGAGCATGATCCAACGCACGCATGGCAGGCTAACCTTGGGCCCAGGCTACTACCCCGAGAAAGGGCACAGAGGCCCGAGGGACAAGCTACTCACCCAAGGGGTAAAGAGGCCGACCAGGGTAAAGAGGCTGACGTGGACGTCGGTTGTGGAAGCGTGATGGAATGTTAGGATCCCACATTGGAAAGGAAAGGGGTGGGCATGTGGGTTATAATGAGCACCCTCCCTTGACAAGCCAGTTTTCAAATGAGAGTTCTACCCAAGCCTATAAAAGACTCATGGCCCAGCCCAATTGTTTGAGTTGTTGGGGTGGGTTCCTATCAAACAAAAAACCACAAAGTTAGTTTGGCCCTAATACCATGTAAGTAACCACTTAACCAAAAAGTACAAGTTACAATGTAAGAGTGTAATATTAATATTTAAGTCTTAACAAGTAGAATAAAGAGATTTTAGGATATCACAAAAATTTGCAATAGAAATATTAGTGACCGTCCAGTTTGTATCAAACTAGAAAATGATCTATAACATAACATATTAGAAATCTCATATAGCACTGCAAAACTTCACAAATTCCTTAAAGGCCTAGATTTCAAAGAGGAACAATATTTAGAGGGGGGGGAAAAAAAAACTGACGTAAGATAAGATATGTTAAGACTTACAGTAGCAATAGAAAGAAAAGTGAGCAAGTAAAAAAAAAGAGGGGAGAAAAACAACTGACAACTTACTTGGAGATGTCAACCATATGTTGTTTTGAACTCTTGCCATTCTCAAGTTTCAATAGAGACAGCAACTCCTTGATTTTTTCATGCATCTATGGCAAGGATATAAATCAATGAACTTTACCTTGATACAGATTAAGGTTTTAAATCATATCTAAACTGTGTTTTAGTAACAAAACACAACGCTGCAAGAAAAACTGATCAGATGACAGAAAGTTATATGAGCCTTCCATTTAAGCATTAATAGTACTACTAGTAAAGACTTTTGAGTCTTTAAATTTGGTAAATTCCAAAACCTTGATCCTCGTGACAACCACTTGATGCAGCACATAAAAGAAAATACCTAAATTTGTTGATTCAAAGGAATACCTGAACTTAAAAATAGTTAAAAAGATTTTCATTGATTCAAGGAATACCAGAATTCCAGTAATTAAATCTTGCTGATTCCAAAAGAATATGGAGAGATGTTTTTATTATCTCTCCATATTCTTTCAGAATTAACAAGATTTGATTGCTAGATTTTTTATATTTATTTGAATCAACAAAAATCTCTTTAAATTTTTCTAGTTTATCGTATTATTCGAGTATATGAAATTAAAGTTTTTTTTTTTTTTTTTTTCCGCTGCATCACCATGCAAGCTCAGAGTCTTAATTCACAATGTCAGAATGAACTATAACAAGTTGTTTCTGACTTATAGTTGAGAAGTCAAGGTCTCAGGTGCAGTTAAGACTCAAGAAAAAATTAAACAATATTAAAGATCTGGAACCAAAAAAACTTTTGGATGAAATTGCAAAACTTTCCCACCAAATCACTAAATTGTGAGAAGTTGGAACTATCACATTTACAATAACATTGTACTACTAACAATCCTTCAAATTAAAACACAATAAAGTAATGCAAGAAGATGGGTTTCCAGAAAAAAAAATTCACTAAGCATAGCACTGATATAGCAGAATAAAATTTGATTGAGGTGTGACTCCAACATAAAAGCAAAAGCTCCAAGTAGCTAGGTGGAAGTTTATAAGTGAACTACTTACAGATATTTAAATTCCATGTTTCACACGAAATTCAGCTTCAAATATCTAAAAGGCTACATCGGTTTCCCTTGCGATAAATTTAGTTTTCAAAAATCATAAGAAATAACTATTTATGGAAAAGCTCCAAAGTGAAGCTCACCTAACGAATTTGTAAAGATAATTGTGGTAAGACACATAAATAATGCATAAAAATATGCAAACAAAACCCCCTGAATAATTTATATTGTACAAGTAACTGTGTTGTCTAATCAAGCATAATCTAAAGCACAAAGAAAATCATTTTTTTTTTTTTTGGTATAAAAGGAAGGTCAGTAAAATTCCCCAAACAATAAATGTACCTCGTTGACATTCATTGTAAGCCCTTCCCATCTTTTGAGCAGCTTCCACAACTGTGATGCAGGAAGATCCCTGATTAATTTCAAACATCAGTATAACATTGAAACAATGCAATAAACAACGTCAAAGTAACCAACTAAAACAAAGAATACCTATAGGTGAGGTTGCAAGAGAATACCAATAAGTTTGAACATGTACATTTACATGTCAATAAAAAGTGGCAATCATAAATATAAATATAAATATTTTCTCCAAGTCTCTAGAAAGAAATCAACCAAACATCGAGCATGTAATTATACAAACAAACCACAAAAGCAAAATCAATGTCAATATGTATGTAAATGTCATCTCTGTTCTTGCCAGTCACCTTTGGCATGCTTAGCAGTATTTGCAAAAGAAGATATATTCCAATCACCCTGTTTTGGTCAAGTCAATTTTCAGTTCACCACCATATGGTTAGCAAATTGACACTTTGCCTCTTGAGCTCCATTATATTTCCCTTCAAAATTGGTAGTTTTTCTTAAAAAAGCACCTAAACTTACATATAAATTGAAACTTAACGGTTCTGATTTGCAAAACTTTGACTTTCTTGTGCACAAAATCTCACAGAATAAACCTCAAGTGAGCTACTAGCAATCAATCTTAAGACGTTCACTGTTTAACAAAATGTAGTAAATGAGTAAACTTTAGAAGCAAGCTATTAAATTGAAAGCTAGAAGGAGAGAAAGCAATGTAGGCCAAAACACGATGGCGGATAAAAAGCCTTGGGAATGTATTAAGGTACTCAGGAAACCAGGAAAATAATTTTAACAAAGCAACAATGCAACATTATTCTGCATAGACAAAAATTAAGAATGCATGGATTTAAAACATGTTACTTACTTCACCTTGCGTACAGCTTGACATATAAAACCACCTCTTCTCAACATAGGATATTGTTGACAATCTTTTGAAGAAGATGCACCTATATCTTTCTCTAATTTTATGTGAGAATTAGAAGTTGTAGAATTGCATGATGTTGGATCAAGTGCTTCACGCAAAAGGTCTAATAGCTGAATTTTATCACCTTTTGCAGCTTCATAGAGGCACTGCCACAACAATATTTGCCAATAACAAATTACTATGAGGTTCAAATAGTTTTGTTCTTGGTCAAATACAGACTATGATTGCCAAGGAACTTCACTTTGCTAGAGCCACTGAATAAAGTTGCTGTTACTTATAGTCGTATAAATATACAAAAAGCATGATTATCAACACTTTGAAGAGCACATAACAAGAGAATAACATGACGTATGATATCCTAGAGATTTCTTTTCTGAGGATTTCTTTATTTTAGGATTTTTAGGATTTACCTCCTATTAAGGTAGAGATGATAATTTCCTATTAGAAGATTATTTTTTATTTTCTGGTTGAGGTTTCTTAGTCAGATCTTTGGCCACTATAAATAAGGAACTTTACCTTTCTTTTTCTTTTTTTCTTTTTTTTTTTTTTGGAGATTCAGACGTTGATTTGCTAATTATTGAACATTAAAGTGTCTTTAACGTAAGTGTCTATCTCAATTTTCCCAGATCCTTTTCTCTCTGGCAATTTCCATAAATTATAAAATAGAAATTTCTTTGCAAACGAAAAATTAATTCTAAAAATAGGAAGCTAAGGAATCTTAAGTTAGAAAAAATAAAATTCTGGGTTGTCCTGCATCACAACAAAGATTAAGAAAGCTTGGAATCTCATTAAGGTCCCAAATATTCATCCAAAAAAGCTGATCTACACGAACCCAATGGTTGGTTGAGTAGTTAATACTTTTGGGTTTCAACCAAAAGGTCAAGCTCCCTTGGAGTTACTTATTTGGGATATTATATCCCACAAATTTCCTAACAACCTAGTTTAGAACACATAAAATCATAAGTTCAATGAATATCTAGGCATTTAAAAAAGGGTCAAGTCTACATGCTTTTCACTTACTAAATACACAAATTAATGAAAGTAGTTTTGTTACACTAACAAACAATTCCAAGAAAATGTCAAAATATAAGAACTTAAACTTACAAGTGATGGGAAAAACCTACGACTTGCAACATTGGAGCAATTGGATTTATATTAGTACGGATTGGAAAAGAAAAAATATAGGACTCACCGAAACCATAGTGCCCCATTGATTTTTCAATCTCTTCAATTCTGACAAACCAGTAGCAAATCTTTCAACACTCTGCTCCTCAATTTTGTTCCTAAACACATTACAGCACCAAATTTAGGATATTAACTTCCACCTCTCAACATGTTTCTATACATTGGAGCAAAAGAACTACAGTAAATTTTCAAGCATTTGAAATACCTTTCATAAGATGGTAAGTTGAAAGCATGCTTCAATATCATTTTCGATAATAATCCATCATGTAACACCTTCAATGATAGAACATATATGGGAGAAAAGAAAAAGGGAAGTTACTTATATTATCAAGGGCGTACGTCGTAGCAAAAAAAATTGGAGACAACCAAAATAGCATGCATGTACACACGCAGTCACACACACAATCAATGGCACTGTATCTCTTCCATAAACTATAACACAAGTTGTGGACCATTACATCAATGCACTTTTAACAATCAAGAATACACTTGACAATCATAGTTAATGCACCTTTAAAAAACAGATATGAGATTTAATCTCAGCCAATTGAATGTCTCTCTTTGTAAGAGCGTGTTCACTTGAGTTGGCTAACAACAGAAATTGAAGACCAAAGCAAACCAAAGCTGGAATTAGTAAGAGAAAAAAACTAGTTTCCACTCATTAAGTCAAATGCCGATACAGATTTAATGATAAAAAAGGGGGAAGAAATGAATGAAAAAGTAGCTGCCAGCCATTCACCTTGAAACGCACTAATACTTAGTATAACAGATGATAAACCCAGGGAAAAGATCTGACTAGAAAGCTCTGCTAATTTGGACTATCAAAAACAAAATTTTGATCTGTACAAATTACCTCATAAAAATTAGATGTTTCTCAATGCATCAATAACTAGGAAAACTGTGAAGACCAATGTTCCTCTAAGAATAAATATTGTTTGGGCTGTGTGCATATGGATTTACGCATAAAAAGCAAAATAAAGAAACAAAAAGATAAAAAGGACACAACTCATACATTCCTACATCAAATGAAAGGGAAATTCAGATCGTTAATAGGATATGAGGAAAGCGGATTGCTCAGAAATTACTTAACATGGGATAGGGAAATCCAACCTGTCCATCCTCTTCAAGCGAAAACCCTCTGATTAAAAAGCTTAGAGGTTCCATGGAGAAATGCTGGACACATGCTACCTGAAAGCACTTTAAAACTTCATATTAGCAAATATTTCATCACATTCACTTGAAGGTGAGAGATGCCACAACATCAAAGAAAGATGGTAATAATGATAGTTGCAAAAACCCATATGAGATTGAACCACCAACCTTCAATGCCCTAACAAAAGAGGTCAAAGTTCCATCCTGCCTCACAAAGTAATTACTCATAAAAACTGCCACTTTGTGGCTGATGATGAACCCAGAACATTGCTTCACAAAAACAGCATCAACAACTGCATCCATTCTCTCAGCTGGGGTTCCCAAAGTGAACTTATAAGAGGACAAGCACTGAAGCACGTTAGAAGGCAGTATGCTTTTTGGAGCATCAAGTGTTGTTGCAACTCCCATTATCAATATGACTGGAACCTTGAGTACCCACTCACTTGTAGAAAAAGTAGTTGTTAGATACAAGCTAAAACTTCAAAAAATTAATGAAATTATAATAACATAAAATAAGAAGCAGTCAATAAGCATGCTGATGGTTCATTATATGGGTTCTATTATAGAAAAAATAGTTGTTAGCTACAACAAGTATTATTGGGTGCTATTATATGTCCTTAAATCTCATGAACAGCTCTAGGAGTCTAGGTAGGTAAATAGTACTCTGTAATAAGCAGTGCAGAAAAATATATAAATGAATAAATAAAAGAGATCACTCATTTAAATATGTTGAAGTCATTTTGATTATTGTGCAGTATTATGAAGCATCTTAGTGATTTATGGCTTTACAACTGTCAAACACAATTATGCTAAGAGATGGGTGTGGTGCTAGTTGATCTAAATGCCAAATGGAATTTCAATCCAGAAAATCTCAAGATATTTTTACATGCTTGGTGTACATGCATGTACATAAAAGACTATAAAAAGAATGAATCATCTTGTTGATGAAACATATAAAAACAACAACTCTCTTGTGTGCAATGCAATAAAACATTTATGTTCAAATAGAAAGTTCAAGAACAACAAGGTTTATAATTCTAGAAGACTGACACATTTAACAACTACAGGGTACCATTTTGAAATTTAAAAGCTATAGAGGATAAAAACGAAGCATTAAAAAATTCAGGTTTTTAAAAGATTAAGAAATCAAAACAAAAAATTGGTCTGCATAAGCAAATATGAAAGGATATATGGTAACCAGATATTATCCTCAGTTCTAACTAGATCTGAATACCTCAACATAAGGATGAAATTGGACAATATAGAACCAGAACATCGCTCAATATCATTGACAATTACAACAACTGGGTTATTATAGTTTCCCTGTCCTCTGTACCAGGATGCCATGATGGACATATCAATTGCCTGCTCAAAAGCAGCAAAAGAAACAAGTATGGATTACAAAGTAATAAGAAGAGAAACCAAGTTTAATTTTAGAAGGAAGTTCAGGTGTCAAAACTTACATCTGAAGAAGCCCCCACAAATTGTCTCAATAAACTTCTAAGACAACCACCAATCCCACTCTTAGCCGTAAAATCTACTGATGAAAGGTTAGCCACATGGCATCCTTGAGATTTCAAAAAGTGGCCAAGCTCTTCGAAAGTCAGCAGATCATCAACAAACTCCATATTTTCTGCCAATCATTACTCAATCAAAAATCCCTCACAGGCAAAAGATACTACCTTAAAATTATGGTAGACTGCTTGACCAAGCAATAAAGATTGTGATAACTGATAATAGGCAAAACATGTAAAAAGTGTGGCCCAAAGACCAAGTATTCCAAGGAATATGATATTACACAAAATAAAATAAAAATAATGCACTACCAAACAAAGGTGGACGGAAGCTATGCATGTCTCCTACAAACTTCAGATGGTTGGTTGTATAAAACATAGTGGGTAAGCTGTAGTAATTCAGTCCTCACGACTTGGATAATTTGAAATCAAATGTTCTACTTATTAAGAGAACTTGAATGACGCCTGGAATAGTAGTACCTATTATAAATTAGCATGTATATCAACTAAAAGAACATACAATGGACACTATTGGAAGGTTAGGCGTTTTACTCCTAACCATCAGACAGAATGCATACTCAGATGGTTTATAACTTCAGATTCTTCTCATTGAATCACATAAACAGCGTCATTCAAGTAATCTCATCCCAATATCTAATTGATACAAGCCACGGTTTACTCAGCCTAATCATAACTGCCAATTGGAGAACTTACTGGTTAGAACAAGCCCAGTGAACAATTGCTTAGAAGAAACATCTTTCATAATGGGAAAAGCTTGAGTTGCTTCATGGGAAGTAAGCGTTCCAAATGATTTAATAGTATTGAAGGACTCACGAACCCAATGATGAATCTCGTTGAAGACATTAGTATTGATATTCCATAAAACATCCTGCATTTATGGTTATAAAATCTTCGTTCTTTAGTACATAGAGATCATGGTCCCAATTGATCATGGGAATATCCACAAAGAATGAAACAAAGTTGGCCAAAGAGACAAACCTTGATTGTGGACTCAATCTTGGTCCACACAATCTCAAAAGCTTCCATACGCAAGTTGACATAGGGATCATCATCAAAATCTTCAGTACTCTCGGAATCTGTTTTCTCAAAATTCTTAGGTATTGATGAAGATAAATCAATCCTCCTCTTGGTTTTTGTTGTTCCTGTTGACTTTCTCTCATATTTCCGAGAAGCAGCTTTGTGAAGAACAAAAACTGGCTGTGAACAGAGAAAACAAGAACAACTAATTGGTGGTCTGCTTGTATACAAAGAAAAACAATGATTTAAAAAAAAAAACAAAAAAAAAAAAACCTCTATTTTATGACTCACAAGTAAGAAATAAAACTAGAGTACAATTTTGAATTTGAACTTTTGACCAACAAAAAACCTCACCCAACTGACCTTAATTCATTTATTTAGCCTGTAATTCTTATAATAAAAACTAAAAAATTTAAAAACAAAATGAGAGCATATGAAATTTCATTATTAATTAGGTATGTATAATCGTAAAGTGCAATTCTTTCCCAAATGTATTAGCAACCAAATTTATATAGAATAGGCGTCCAAGAGATATAACAAACTAAAACATTAACGAAGATTAAATAAATAATAATGATGATGATGATAATGATCAAAAGCAAAGCTGTGAATAAGGAAGTAAACCTGAAGATGATTTTCAGTGGTACCAGAAGTTGAAGGAGGAGGCGAAGAATCGGCAGTTGCTGCTGATGGCGCCATACGATACGAAGTGAGAAGAGAAAACAGTTTGCTTTGATTTAGGGTTTAAGCGATCTTCTGCGTCTCGTTTTTGGCGGGAAACAACTAAAGCTGCAGCTAACTTAAAGGGTGTTTGGAAACTCCTTTTAAGTATACAGTTTAGGGAAGGAGATTTAATACAGTTTGATCAATTTCCCCAAATAACAAAATATGCCCTCAGGTTTTAGAAATTACAATTTACCCCCTTCGTCGAAGTACCCTTTTTTTTTGTTCTCTAACTTTGACAGATTAACAAAATGACCAATTTAACCCTATCCGCGTCTTCTAAGGGTCTGCTTGAGAGTTTTATAGTAGCGGTATAAGGGTAAATCTCGTAACGGTTTTGAGGTAAACCACTAACGGTTTTGAGGAGTTTTTAGTACGGTTTTTAAAACACTCAACCTGTGCTTGGAGTTATTTTTCAACGGTTCTGACAATTTTTTTAAATAATAATTACATAAATACCTATAAAGTTAAAACACTCTCTCTTTGCTTAATTACTTTGATAAATATAGAATGCATACATTATTTGTTTTTATTTTCTTTCTCTCCAATCAACAAGAGCTCTCCCGGATTTTTGTACTGTACAGAGCTGCAAAATTGTTACTGTACAAAGTAACAACCACCATTAGATCGTGAATTCGTGACCAAAAGTTTGACTGTAGTCCCTTGACCAATGATAGAATGCTCAAAATTCTTTAAGTAATTTTATTTCAACATGAGGAAAGATTTGCTTCATCGTTCTAAAACAAGAGGATGTATTTCCCATTTATAAGCCGTATACTGCTGCCAATTTTTGGTTTATGTGGTAAGAAAAGTTTGGTAATTTGTGGCAAAGCTGTTGTTTTACACGCCCCTTTGAGACAACAATGTCAACCCCGTTGTCCTGTTACTCGTTTACCAAAACAGTCGAGTCATTATAAGAACCAAATTCACACTGTGTGCAACAGCAAGAGATTTGTGTCTAGTGAGAAGTCAACAGTAAGAAAGATTTGTGTACAGCAAAGGGATAAAGGATTTTTTTGGTAAAAAAGTTTTAAACCACAAAACACCCCGATTTTGGGTGTTTTATAAACCCCTCAAAAATACACTACACTGTTTTGGGGGGTTTTTAAACCAGTCAAAATCAGCCTATTAAATTCTGCAGGGGGGTTTTTAAAACACCTCAAAACTAGTCTAATTAAAAACCCCAAAATCAGTGAAAAAAAACTCTCAAGCAGACCCTAAGGGACTGTTTGGTTTTTTTTATCTTAAGTTTGAATATAACTAATTTTAACAGATTAAAATGTTTTAAATTTGTTTGTTTTTATTTATCATATATAAATAAAAAACAAACAAATAATTTTTTTGTTAATCAATAATTTTTTTTTATCAACAATACGCCCTTTAAGCTTATATAATTCTAATTTTAATGATGAATCTCGTTGAAGACATTAGTATTGATAGTCCTTAAAACATCCTGCATTTATGGTTATAAAATCTTCGTTCTTTAGTACATAGAGATCATGGTCCCATTTGATCATGGGAATATCCACAAGGAATGAATCAAAGTTGGCCAAAGAGACAAACCTTGAATGTTAAAACAAATTATTGATAATAAAAAAAAAACAAACAAACAAACAAATTTAAAACATTTTAAATTATTCCTTGGCCAACCTTGTTAACCAATAATTTTTTTTAATCAACAATTCCCCCATTAAATTTATATAATTCTAATTTTAACAAAACCATTATGCATTGTGGATTTTTGATATTCTTTTAATTTTTTTTTTAAATATTACATTAAATAATATAATAAACAATATTTATTATTTAAATTCATTTATTTTGTTTTAATTTTCATGAATTTGGTCATTTAAAATTGTTTAAAACATGTAAAATATAAAATTATATTATATATTTATTATGGACAAATGTGTCAAAACATCAATTTTAGATATTTATATTTAAAAAAACAAACAACTCAATACTTATAATAAGACATTAAAAAGTTAAAAATAAACATATACATTTTTGTATATCAAAACATATTCAACTAAAAGATGTATTCAATTTTCAGATAAAAAAACAAACACTACCTAAATCAAACGCAACCAACCATAAAAGAATAACGCTAGCCACAATTATAGAGAGATCATATTTACCAAGTAAGTCAGTACCTCAAAAGTATAAATGATCACACCCTTCCAATTCATCTCACCTTGAGATTTCTGGCAGCGTTAAATGTGACGGCAATTATAGAGTGAATCACATAAAAAATTGGAGAAATTAAGACTGAATGTCGGCATCCGAGAGCAAAAAGTTATGATAAGAGAAGACCAAGGAGATGATTGGGTGTTAAGCCAATTGTTGTGCGTTAAAGATGGCCAGACCAGAACCCATTAGAAACGTTGGAGCACGACATGGGAATCAAGCCTAGGAAATAAGAAAGGACGGGCGATCAAAGGATGAATACAAACATGACATTTTTGTGAGGCGAGTGAGGAAACACACTATTCACTTTGCCATGTGTACGTAGCACACCCCAATCGGTGACACGCGGCCAAGCAAGCTCCTTGTACCTTTCATGCAGTTGGGTTGGAATAGCCAGTAAAAGCACCTGCTGTCAAGGGTAACACCATCATTCCTTACCATAAAGAAGCACGAGAGCCTCCAACGGCCGTTTAAATCATGACGACCCAGTTTATGTATGCGTCATCATTGCACTCCCAATACTCCATATAAATAGAAAAGAAAAGGAAAAAGGGAATAGTGATCTTTCTTTTTCATAGCAGACGAAAATAAGTACATTAGGGGATGTAGGCTTTATTTTTCCGGTCATACCACTTTAAAAACTCTTGTTCTTGCCTCATTTTCCGAGAAATCCGTCTCAATTTAATACATAATCATGTACGGATATGCTCTTCATCGCTAACTCCCTAGTCACGCACCCATCTTGCTCAATTCTAACATGGTCAACTGAGTACCTTCGGTTGATGTAGAATTTTGCATCTACATTATGGTTGTTGCAGATTTTTGCATCAATATTTTGGCGCTAGAAAGAAGGTCCGTCCTTGTATGTTCTGATCTAAACCCGTTTCAGTATCGGTCGCCACCACTGCCACCGGCTTACCCACCTAATGACGGTAAATAACTCCCGATTGTGATGGCCTCCAGCTCTACATTCCGACCTGAGCCAATCGAAGATTCTCTTGATTTAACGCATACACAAGGATGAGACTACCATTGGTCCGATCGAGCAACTATGTGAAATCCCCATTGACAAATGGTTCCCCGCCCATGCTCTGAAGATCGAGATCAATCTCGAAGGAAAGACACGCGATAAGTTGGTCACCTTCCTAAGGCCTGCTTGGGAGTTTTTTTTTTTTTTTCCATTAGTTTTGAGGGGTTTTTAATTAGACTGGTTTTAAGGTAATCTAAAAACATTACTTGCCAGATTTTTTATGCACTCGTTTTGATTGACTGAAAAAACCTGCCAGAACCTGTATAGTGTATTTTTGAGGCGTTTATAAAGCACCCCAAATCGGGGTGTTTTGGTTGGTTTTAAAATTTTATTCCACAAATACCCTATCCACTACAAAACTATCCTAAATATATCCAAAAAAAAAATTAACCATATTATGCGTATTAAATATAAAAAAATTTTAAGCAATCATAAAAAAAAATTATTAAAATCTCATTTCTAGATGCTTTCTTGGAGAAGTGGAGCTACAATTTTCAATCATTCTAAATGCTGCAAAGAATGGCGATGAAGGATAAGGAGACTTTATCACATTTGAAGTTATAAAATACTAATAAGTGGAAAACAAATAAAGATTTCTTACCTTGTAATTGAAAAAACAAAACTCCCAAATACTAGTTGAAGTTGGGGTATTGTTATGAACATATATGTAAATTTATCTTTTAAAAAAAAAATGTTAGAACCGCTGGAAAATAAACTCCCAAGCACAGGTTAGGTGTTTTAAAAACCACAACTAAAAACCCTTCAAAACCACTACGATGGTTTACCCTCATAATTGCTACCACGAAACTCCCTAGCCGACACTAAAGGAAAATCCAGATATTTTCGCTTGAGAACATGCTGACATGGTAGGAATAGATCCCAGAGTCAAGTGTCACGGGCTCAACATCGACCCTACAGTCCGGCCTATCCATCAAAAGAGAAAGGCGATGGACGCAAAGTAGTCCAAAGCACTCAAGGAGGAGGTCGATAGACTCCTTGAGATAAAATTCATTAAGGAAGTCAGATACCCTAGATCGTTAACCCCATGCTCGTCAAGAAGTCAAATGGCAAATGGAGAACATGCATCTATTTCATGGACTTGAACAAAGCGTGCCCTAAGGACAACTTCCCCTTTCCCCAAATCGATCAGCAGATAGATGCAATGGCAGGAAATGCTTAACTCAGCTTCATGGACCCCTACTCGGGGTATAATTAAATCCTGATGTACAGGCTCGAAAAGACACACACTTCATTCATCATGGACAAAGGCCTATACTGCTACAAGGTCATGCCGTTTGGCCTAAAAAATGCAGGAGCGACCAACCAGTGACTCATGAATAAAATGTTCGCCGAGCTCATTGGAAAGACGATTGAGGTATACATCGACAACATGTTAATAAAGTCAAAGAAGGCAAAAGATCACATTAGGCACCTCGGGAAAATGTTCTGCATCTTGAGGGAATATCGAATGAAGCTCAACCCCTTAAAATGCGCCTTCGGTAGGGGTGGGCAAAAAATAGGGTAGAACCAAAACCGACGGGTGCCCGGGTTTTGGTTTCGGTTCCTACCTGAAATCGACTGCCACGGGGTTGGTTCTGGTTCCGAAAACCTGGAACCTACACTATGCGGGTCCGGTTCCGGTTCCACCACCTTAGGAACTAGAATTGGGACTAAATTGAAATATTAAAAAAATATAAGGACCATTGTAAAATTTTACGATTCATTAAAGTTTTTCCTTATTTCTTCCGAAATTTTCTCTTGTTTTGCTTGTTTTATTCACAACTGAATTTAATTGATGTCTTATCTTGTTGTTAAAATTAATTCACCATTCTTAGTAAA